AATTGTTTGGGTCTTGTTCTTTCCTGCCTGGCATAAAGCACGATTCGAGCATTGAGCACGATTCGAGTTCAAGCACCACTGCACCAGCCCAAACTCCCCATCTCCGAACTCCTTTCATCTACTTTCTGTTTTGCCCTAGGTTTTTCGAACTAGTCATCTCCTTCTTTAGGGTTTTGAGTTTGGCCTCCTGTTTTTGAGTTGCCTCTCCTCCACTTCACCTGCTATTCAGGCTTCCGCACCATGTCCTTTTGGGGCTTACGGTTTGCGGCACTCCTCTTGTTTGACCTGCCTCCGGTTTAGGTTTTTCGTCATCAAGTCCTCATACGTTGCGCTGCCTAGTGCCTTCTTTAGGGTCTAGGATTTTGCATCGGTACCCCCATTGTCCATCCAGGGTTCAGGATAACCTTCGAACCGCTTAGCCCGCGCCCTCAAGTTCCCTCAGTCTGCAGATCCAGCCGTGTCGTTGCTTGTGCAAATTACGAGTTCTTTCCTTCCTTCTTTCCTTCCTTCCTTTCTTTGGTCGTTGCAGTCCGTCGGCATGAAGCTCTGAAACCGGAAAGCCCCGTGCCCGAATGCTTGGTGCTTGAATCTGGGATTTCACTGCGCGAATGCCCTGTCCACGAGTCCTCCGTGCCAGTGCACAAATCGTCCGCGCTCGTGCTACTGGTGCACGAGTCTTTGTCTTCGGAGCGTGAATCCGTGTGCACGAAATGATTTTTCTCGTCTAGCCCGCCTCGGGCTTGCCCTCCAGACTCGAAGTTCCTCAACGGGAATCCGGCGACATGCGAAACAACCCCACGTTCCAAGTCATGCTGTACCGAATTGGACACTGGCTGTAGGAACTTAAACGCCAATTGTGAAATATAGCTTTTATAGGAGAGGCCGGAGACAGCGACCTTTCGATTGTTGTTTTTTTAGCTGTGCGTCGTGATTACCTTGCGCCACACTTGGACCAGATGTTTGAGATTAGAGTTGCAGCATGTGAAGCCCCCTCAGCCTTGTAAAAATGAGCCACAATTGGGTTTTGCCCAAAGCGTGCAGATCGTATGAGAGTATGAGTAAAATTGTTGTGGCTTTGTGGCTTTGTGACCTCCTCCCATGGCTGTCTCCATGGATGCGACGGCCGAGACGACCGAGGCCGAGGCTGGACTTCTCAGAGCTTTCAAAGCTTTGACTCTACTTTGCTACACATCCACACAGATTACCTGATAGATCACAGCTGATCTCACCTCTAGTCTTTTATAAGGCATGCCTTATAAAACATCAGAAATCAGCCGTACCGTGTGCTGAGATTTCATCTTGTGTTTTGTTCGGCACACCTCACTTGCTTCCCCGCCTCTCGAGGAGATGAAGGCCTTGGAAATGCCTGCGCAACGCATCCTTCCTCAGAGAGTGCTTGATGGAGATTGGCTAAGCCATGAGCTTCCCAAGCTGCACAAAGATTTTTATTTGAACCATCCTGATCCCGCGCTGCACTGTGAGCAGTTCTGCTGGGGAAACCTTGAAGAAGCACACCCCGTGCTTGGGCGACGGACACAGGACGAGGCTGCAGAATATCGAAAGTCTCGGGGCATTGTTGTGACCAGCGTCCGCGGACGGCCCGCACCAAAGCCGTTCCAGACGTTCCAGGAGACAAGCTTCCCGTCTTTTGTTGAAGAACTGGCGATGGAGCTATTTTCAAGCGAGGCGCTGCCCTTTTCTGTGCAGGCACAAGCGTGGCCATGTGCATTGGCCGGGGCAGACGTGATTGCTGTGGCACCAACTGGATCTGGGAAGACGTTAGCCTTCTTGCTGCCTGCCCTGGTGCACATCATGGCTCAACCTGTGTTAACGGTTGGCGAGGGTCCGATTGCCCTCTTCCTGGAGCCTACGCGCGAGCTCGCTGTTCAAACGCACGGCGTGGCACAGCAGTTCTGCAATCGGACCAAAGGTGAGGACTTGCTCCGTGCCGGCGTGATCTATGGAGGCCAGGCGGCAGAGCTTCAGACTCCACTGGAGGGTGCTCCGGACTTTGGTAGATGGCCTGAGATTTTAGTTGCGACGCCGGGTAGGCTTTGGGAGCTCATGACCAAGAAATGTTGGATCAGCGCGAAACGCATGAGTTATGTTGTGTTGGATGAAGCGGACCACATGCTTGCCACCGGAACGTGGCTCTGTCAAATACAGGAGCTGCTCCGGCTGCTGCGCAAGGACCGACAGCTTCTTCTCTTCTCGGCCACGCTGCCGCTCGAAGCCGAACGGGCAGCACTTGAGATTTGTGGTGATGAGCTTTTCAAGATTCAGGTCGATCCTAAAATCCCCAGCATTTCCCAGGATGTGAAGCTTTTCCCGGGTGCATATGATGGTGGCTATGAGGCGAAGACGGCAGAGCTTCAGCGATGGATTCGGGAGGACTTGAAAGATGAGGAGTCGTTATTGATATTGTGCCACAAGTCACAAATTGGCTATGTTGCCTCTGATTCGAAGCTTCGAGATGCCGTTGCCAGCGTGAGTCCGGATGGAATGCGTGCAACTGCGGTTCTTGATCATCAGCAGAGGCATGAATCGCAGCAGTCTCCCTACAAAGACTTTGTCAGAAAAGAAACGCGGGCTCTGATTTCGACTTTCTCATTGGCTGGAAGAGGTCTGGACTTCCACGACACTGGCTCGTACTTGCAGTTGTCGCTTGCCGTGGTGCTTTTTGATTTCCCTGCGAACATAGGAGAATATGCAAACTGCATTGGCCGGACATCCCGTCCTGGACAGAAGGAAGGAAGGGTGTATGCATTTCTGCCAGAAGGCCGCTTCTGGATCGCTGGAGAACTGATTCAATTACTAGAGCATTGTGGACAGCAGGTGCCCCAAGACTTGCAAGATTTGTCCAGCCAGGATGCAGCCTTCATGGCGGAGGTCAAGGCTGCCATGCAGCAGCTTCTTGCCGGAGAACTCAGCCCAGAGTCGCTTCCACAAGGGCAAGGAACATACGATCCAGCCTCTCAAGTATGGACTTTGCCAGCCAGCATCCCGTCATATCGACGAAAGCTTATTCACACACTGGCTGACGAGCTTAGCCTGCCTCATGTTTCTTACGGCGCTAGTCGGGACCGGAAACTCTGCATGGCCACAGATCGAAAGGCCCTGCCTGAGAAGTACTTCGTCGAGGGTGAGGCAGTCATAGTGGTGGGACGCAATGGACATAAGGACCGTGGCAGAGTCAAGGATCCTCGCCTCAGATTTCGGAACATCACGGTCTGCTTTGACAACACGAAATTCTTCGGTGAGTATCCCCTTGATGTCCGAGCCGACGATGTTTGGCCAGAAGGCGAGGAGCCAAGTGGCCGTGACAGGCAAGACAGGCAGGGGTATCTTGGGAGGCGGACCTATGCAGCGTATCAGCGGTATCGCTAGGGAAACAGCTTCTGGAGACTCGATAGTTGCCATGTTCAGGAGTGGATAGCCGAAGACAGTTTTCAGCATTCCGGGGTTGCGCTTGCTCAATGGCTCCAGGGTAATGGATGCTCACAGACCTCGGAAAACACAAGTCGTTGAGCAAACCCTGGCCCTTGCGTCCAAGATAGATCAAGATAGTCGACTGCAGATGTGAGGTGTTAAGCTGTAGCCTGGCCATTTGGCCCTTCATGTTGGGCACTAAGAGTTCATTCTCGGGACCCCTAACCCCTGCCATCCCCTGCCATGCATGGCTAGAGCACCAGAACATGCGATTCTGCCATGGGAAGATGGGATGTGGTTGGCAGCCTAGACCTAGGCGGATTCGCACCCTGTGAGTTGGTGAAGCTCTCGCTGAAGGCTTCGTTGCGGGTCCCGGCCTAGGTGCTTCCTTTCCTGGCTCCTGGACGCGGGGCAGTTCCGTCAGGCAGGGGATGGGACGCAGCCGAGTGCAGGAAACAGCACACTGACGCTGGAGGCAGCCGCCGCGCTAGAGTGGAAGAGTCGCATGATTCTTACAATCACTTGGGTTCGCGGAGTTCTATGAGATTCTATGACATGGTCAAATCAAAGCGGGCTTCAATACTGTCCTGTAGACGAGTTGTTGATTCACAGTTGTCCCTGCTTTCCTGCCACTCTTTGTCAAGCCAAGTGCTCGGGGTTAGATGGGCTTGGACCCTTCGACGTCTGGAGCTTTGGTTTCGGAAGGGTGATGCGATATGCATATTCGTGCGCGCATTCCCGAAGGAACTCGACCTTCTCTCGCGGATTGGTGTAAGGTCGCTCTCCGTGTCGCTCTCTTTGCAATACATCCCTGTCTTCCTGGGACTCCGCTCGCAATATTCGACCGGCATTGCAGTCCGGTACAAGCTGATTCGGTGCCTGTGACAACTCAGGACATGCAATGAAGTCTTTCATGTGGCAGATAGATCTTGTGTCAGAGGCCAAGATCGTACTCACCGAGTTCGTCATCGGGCTCCGCCTTGCCAAGAGTGATCTACTGAGAAACTGCGTGATTTTTTGCTCACTATTGAAATTGACCATATGCAGACTGACGATGATTCAGAACTCCCGAACGTGGAGGACTGTTAAGGGCTCCCGTAGGTTTCTGCTGCCAGGCTTGGATGGGGTTGTTGGTCTGCCACCAGGACATCTATGATTTGCCGACCTCAGACCTGGCAGATGTGGAAGATAGGCCGTTTTCCCAGGAAGGTCAAGGAAGCCCTGTGCCCTGAGCTGTGAAATGCAGCCTCAGGCTTCGGAGGAAATGCAGCAATACTGCTTTGACCGCAAAGGAGGCTTCCCCAGACCTGCTTACATAGTGGGAGTAGCTCCGGGCATAAAGCCGTGGTGCCAGGAGAAGCTGCACAACTTGGTCCGGGTGGAGCTAGGCAGAGATGCGTGGTCACATGGGAGTTTTCGGCAGGCTTCGCCGCTCAGGTGAGCGGCGCAGTGTGGAGGAGATCGGCTTGGCACTGATTGGTGGGCGCTTCGATCTGTCAAACGTGCCAGGCAATCACGAGACTCAGCAGTAAAGGTTTCTGTGTGCCCGTATTGGCAAATCCACGATGCAGGTCTGGACGACAGGCGGGCGCTGAATCTGGCCGGGCGAAGCAATTCCGAGCTCCTCTGTCCGCAGATCACTTCGAGCATGCCCCGTCCGGGAAGGTGCAGAGGCGGAGCCTCCGAGTAGTGGATTTGCATGCAAGGGCTGGAGCACTCTTGCAGCGGGAACCCCACAGAGAGAAAGAAACGCAGGCTAACTATTTGCGACGGGCATGAAATTATGAAATGAGTAATGCAATGCACGTTTCAATACTTTCAGGCTGTAGGATCTTCTCAACCCCTTTGTTTCGGGTTCTGAATTTATCAGGCACGGGGCAGACATCACATCACATAATCGGTTACTTGGAGGCACAACCGAAAAATGCCGTGGGTGCCGGCTGGGATGAAGCGAATTATTGAAAAAGCATACTTACGGGTTGACCCTGCAACAGCCTCCGAATCCAGTGCGTCGTGGCCTGACTTTATTGGAATCGTCTCTTACAGTTGCGAACTCAAGTGCCTTTGTACCAGTATTCACAAACTTGAAGCCACTGACGAAGATGCGGAGCATTGCCGATACTTGCCTTCTGCACGGAGAAACAAGAAGAAAATGAGACATCTCCTGTTACCTCGGCAAGATGTGCGCCGCCGTGCGCAAAAACAGAGCGTGAAACCCGTCGCTGTCAAGATGCCACGAAGTCTCCAGCTGGCGTGCCATCAAAGTGAGACATAATGAGCGTATGTGCACCAGTTTCGAGGCATTCGGCTGCTGTGGCTTGAGAAATCCCGCAGAAAAGTTGAAGGAAGCAGAAGTCGTGCAACACGTGGCACAAGGGTGTTAGCCGGGGCACGCGGTGGCCTTGCTCAGTGGAAGCTATCGCCGACTTCTGACCTTCCTTCGCCCCGGTGCACTCATTTTACCATTGCAATACGTTGGAGCTCCAGAGAAAGAAGATGTCTCATTCTTCGACGTCGCTACATGTAGGGTGTGGGAGGCGAGACCTGCAGGTTTGGACTTTGCCAGATACGAAATCTCCTTCATCATCATCTTCCAGGTCGGCATAAGATTAACCCAACCGGCTGATTTGTATTTTTTTCGACAGGTCGACTTTGTCGAAGGCAGCATCTCCACTGCCACCGTCTTGGTGTCATCGCTGCCTCTGGTTGCCGCAACTGATCCCAGTGCTCAATTGCAGATCGAAGGCCCGATGCAAGCCTTGATTTACGCTCACCTCTTAGCTTCTGCGGCATGTCAATGTGTCACGCTGTGAGATGGCCCCTCGTTTCCCAGGTCAGCGGTTTCCTGAGTTGCCCCCGAGGTTGGCATGGTCCTGGACGGTAAATTGTGCTCTTGCATAGACAGCATGGTCTGAGGTTGACCATGGCTGCTGTGCAGCAGGCATCCCCCTCCCGGCCACATCCTCAGCATTGCGTTTTTGAAACATCTTGACACTGCATGGCAGGTCATGTTCCGATCGCAGGTCTTGCTATCTTATCTGAGAAGCCCTGATTCACATCGAAGCCATTGCACACTGTCCCTGTGGCAACATAAGTCAACGTGTGCCCGGGTTACGGCAAAACGGCATTCGCAGAGTGATCAGAAATCAGACCTGTGTTGGGCCGCATGGGCTCTTTCTGTGGCAAACTTGGTGCTCTTGAGCTGCAACCATAAGACCATAAGCTGCAAACGGAAACCGAATAAGCCCTTAAACGGCAGCAGCAGGCGGCAGATTGCAAAAGCTTGCGGAAGCCCTCCACATAAAGAGAGGTTTCGGAGCTGGGCATGCCGGCAAAGAAGAGCGTAGCAGACAATTGGTGCAAACCCGTGGCAAGCGACTACACATGAGCACATCCATGCAAGTGGGATTTTCTGTTGTCAGCGCTTCTTCAGGGCGGGATCCGCTGGAGGATCATGTTGTTATGATGTTTTGGAGCTGTAGCCTGCGCTTCGCAGTGCTGTCCGACTCTGTTCTTGCAGGCCTTCGCAGGCATTCAAGCCAACACCTGTCAACTTTGACTTCGTGATCGGCACAAGCTCGGTCAAAAAGAAGGTCAACTTCTCAGCTCCATGTGATCCTCTGGAGGAGCTGCAGTCTGCTGCCAGATACTGCCAAAAGTGCTCAGGCGCCAAAGCGCAAACCGAAAGAGCAGAAAGAACACAAGGAATGCAAGGATCCCCAGAGAAAGCGTTCGCCTTAGTTGAGCACTTGTAGTATTTCAGAGTCGTTCTGTGGCCTATGGGCTGCGGTCTACTGACGTTGTCCATGTCTGGAAACTTGTTTTCGCACCGCCCATAATTGCTTGTCGCGCCTGGATGTCTTCAACTGGAGCATTCTTGAAGCACCTTACAAACGCTGTGTAAACAGCGGCGCAACTCATCCGGTGAAGTTGCGCAGATTGACCCTGCGTTCCTGCTGCAGGGCCGCGCCAAAGAAGCGCGGTGTTGGCCGCTCAGCTCCTCAGCTCCTGAGCTGTTTTCGCTCGTCTCAGAGCGAGAAGGGTGCCTGTGCGTGCGCCTCTGTCTGTGTGTCTTTGCTAGGAAGCCGTCGCCTCGGGCCCAAAAGCTCCAGGCATCTGGCTTGCACTGCGATGAGCAGTCTTCGTGACAAAGTTGACTTCTTTCAGGTTTACCGCGGCCAAGGCAAGGGGTTGTAAGCAAAACTCGGCAGCTCCGCTGGCAGAGCTTGGGGCAGCGAAGAACATCATCTTGAATTGCATTGTCTGCCCGTCTGAACTCCGAGTTGCCAGTCAGGGGTCGAAGCACGAATCCTGCAGGGCAAAAACAGAAGGACTGCTACTGTATTAGTTCAGCTGCTGGCTGGATTGTCGGCATTCCGGCAGGACGAGATGCCACCCAAAGGGTATCCACAATCTGCAGAAGCATCTTGCCAAAAGCAGAGTTGCTGCATGTCCGCGAGTCATGTGCTGTGGTGCACGCCCTCACTACATTCAGGGATGATTTGTTTCGATAAGACAATAAATAGTACGTTTCTGACCAGCGAGGCTTCCGATATGTGCCCTATTGTAGTGAGAGGCTCGTTTGTCGTCAGATGTTTGGTGTCAACATCATGCAATTCATGGATCACTCCGGTCCAGCTAACTTCGTCCTCGTAGAACGTTCCCTTGCAGCAACGCCCTGCGCCCCACACTTCTCGTACGCGAAAGGCACGCGCCAGGCAAGGGCATCCTCTCTTTGATTTCAAACAGAAGCAGTCCGCAAAGGCGAGCCATGCAAGAGCCCGAGCTTCGCGTCTAGGGGAAACCAACCGCCAACCCTAAACAAACGCTGAAGCCTCCTGACTAGCTGCAAGGCAACCTGGGCAACCCAATCTCCGTGTAAGATCATGTCTGGCGGGTCTTGCGGCCAGGTTGCATCGGACAAACCAGGTGAGGAGATGAGGGAAGGAGAAGAGCCGGACGAGGAGGACCCGGAGGACCCGGAGGAACCCGAGGAACGGGAGGAGCCGAGGAGCAGAACTTCGGTTGAAGTTGCTCGGAATTTCTTATCAGAAACGTTCCGGCAGGAAGGCCAGCACAAATCTGAAGGGCCAGGAGCGGAGGCAGAGGCCCGACAGGCAGGGGCGTCGGAGGACATCGGACAGCATGGCGGTGAGAACGAGAAGGGGAGAGAGCAGGAAAGCATAGAAGAGGCTGGAGATGCGGAGGTCGCGGAGGATGCGGAAACTACGGAGCCGCAGGTGTTCGCGATGGAAGTACCAGAGACGTCAGAGCAGGCCGGGAGTTCGACAGCGAGGTCGAGCGAGCACCAGAACCCGGACAATGAAGAGAATGAAGACATTCGGTCCCGAAAGCATTTCGAAGGCCAGTACGGGTTTCTTTACTTGACTTCAAAATCAGCCTGTGCACTCACCACAATCTGTGATGCAGAGCGGCTGAAGTGCCTCACTTGCTGGCAGGATCACAGGATGACAGAGGGCTGCATGAACAACAGCAAGGGCCAGGTGCAGACAAGGCCGATTTTGAACTCGCGTGGCTCAGTTTTGAAAACCAGCGTGTTAATCGCACAAGCGCTAGATGCTACACGTAGATGCGAGATCGCCCCGAGATGCGACAGAGGACTCGCCCTCGTCCAGCCACAGCAGTCCCTCCAAGCAGTCTGGAGGAGCGTAGATGAGCGTGGTGTGGAACTGCTTTGCTATTGGCTTGCTGCCCGAGGACTTCCTCCTTCCTTTGCCCCGGAGATGCAACCTCAGCAACCAAAACGCGGGCATTCCAAAGGTGCAAGTGCTTGGTCTCAGGTCGAGGCCAGACGCGAGCCCGGCCACATGCCTTTTTCATAAATGAATCCTGACATCAGAACATAGACTTTGTGCATTCAACGAGGTCTGCGGCGAGAACGAGAATGTTCCGCCGATGCCGTACATCTCGCCTGACAACTCCAGACCGGCTTCCGCATCCTCACCATCCCGGACCTTGAGTTGGGACACTTACATCTCCACCACTTGAGCAAGCTAGATCAGCTACGTAATGTAACGCAGAAGGCCGCGAGCTGGAGAAGACGTACCGTCCTCGTCACGTCAACTTGCAATGGTCACAGCAATGGATTGGCAGCTCCAGGTACTCCCTCGAGAACGAAGCACTCAACACGACGACTGGCGCTGCCGTCTGAGCAAACACCGCTCGGCCCGTGCCCGAAGGCCGCTGCAATTTTGATTGAGGTGCCCGGCGTTCCCGGCGTTCCCGGTCCGTCGCCACGAGGCCTCGGCCTGGGCCTTGGGCTTGAAATGTCGCCTGTCTCTACTGCGAGCATGTGTCAAAGCAGCGCTTCGACCTCCTGTGTGAAGGTGAAGCTCCTTGCAAAGAGACGAGCTCCAAGCCCAAATCACAGATTTCAAAAAGGACACGTTTGTTCGAGAGCCGGAACTTTACTGCTTCAGAACAGGTGCGAGAAGGTTCAGAAGCCACGGAAGCCACCCCTACCTCACGACGCGCTCAGAGCCACGCGCTTGTGCCGTGTGATGCAGGAGACTGTAACTGATGGCCTCTGGCCTGCAAATCACGAGTTGGATTCCTTCCGAGGCTCCTGCGAAGAGTGTCACAAGCAGGCCCTGGCTTTGACGGCAAGAGCGCAGCGATGCGCAGCGTGTAGTCGCAGGAGCAACGAACTTGA